CTGCGTTTGGACCCACGAGATCATTGTTTGCACTCTACTTCGTGCAGCTGGATAATAAAAAAAATATATAGACATGACTTTGAAGCTTCATCAGGCTGATAACAATGCTAGACAAATTGAGGCACAATAATACCAGCCCCCTTCTTTTATTTCTTAGATAAAGCTTCTCAGAATCATACAAACATAAAAATACTAATACAATTTATTTGTTCATCTCGTCATAGCTTTCCCTCTCTATCTATTTCTTCTGAAAATGATCAAACTAGGCTCTTTATTATACAAACAAAAAAGTTTATTAGTCGTAAATACGCCTTTTCGGCTTCAAAGTACCATAAACAATAATTTCCGTCGATTCGTTCGTCTTCAAGGACCTGCACAGGGAAAGTGAACAGAAAGTCTGGCTCCCAGTCTTTTATCAAATGAAAAAAAGACCGGGAGCCAGAGTCTAATTTCAAGAACAGGCGCAAACCTTATACTTCACAGTCGAAAAGCCTGTTAAATTTTGTTGCGCACTTTCATTCAAATTATGAACACTAAGTGTCGGGGCTCATTGTAAGCGTTTCTACCAGCTTATTCACAAAATAGCGGGTCATCGATAAGTGACGATAACTCTCGCACGGCGATTGAGATGAGGCCGAAAGAATTTATAAGGGTGTACAGAGAGATCGAGCGTGGTTTGTGGTTGTGTTTTCCTGTTTTACTTTCTTCACAAAAGAAAAGTTATTAGGCAGGACATTTCTTCTGTATCACTGAGAGTAGATGAGAAATACTCAGGAAACGTTTTCAAAGACATTGCTTTGTCAAAGCACACAGAACAAATATTAGTCTTGCTGCCTAGAGAAATTACACAAAAACTTCATGACATTGTCGTTACTTAATGAGACTCACGGGCGAGGCGTAAAATTTCAGACACAAAAGATCTCTTGTATTGATTGAAGTGCGTACAGTCGAACCTCGATTATCCGGACCCCGATTATCCGGACTATTCGATTTTCCGGACTTTCTTCTCTGGTCCCAATTTTTCCATGAATATTAATTAGTTGTGATCTTGAAAACTCAAAGTCGCAAAAAGCCCAATAATCCTTTCAAAAGACTGTTGAATCAGCGTATTATCCTATGCGCTTTTCAAAATTCGAAAGTGCGACGAGTCAAAGAAGTATTCTGATGCGTTCAGCTGATATATGGTTGGCTCAATTGTTTTGTTGCCAAGGGAATTTCATGCTTGATTAGTTCCTTCTGCGTGGGTTATGTAAACACACGAGCGATCGATCGTAAACTCAAATCAAAAACATGCCTACGAAGCGAAAGCTTGCCGTTCTATTGATTAAAGATAAGCAGATAATTATTTCACATTTCTATCTCATTAATATTCATATTTTCGATTATCCGGACTCTCGATTATCCGGACTATTTACCGAGGTCCCGATGAGTCCGGATAATCGAGGTTCGACTGTACTAAAAAGAAATCGAATTTCACAACACTGTGCACTAGCACGTTCGGAACTTATAGGCTTTGCAATCTTGGTAAAAAAAAATCACACTGTTGTCATGTCATTTACACTTGTTTATTATCTTTTAACGATTATTCCGATTTTTCATTTCATGGATTCACTAAACAATAAAATTGTAACCCCAACTGATTCATTCTTTCAGTTTCTAGGATATGGGTATCAATTCTCTCAAAGTATCACTAAGAAGTACTTTTACGAAATAATTCAATCTACATTATGATTCAAATCAATGACGCAAGGTGATGCTAAATGCAAATACAAAGTCGTTGCAATGCTATGGTTGTATTCAGTTCGGAAACCAACGAAAATGAAATCAATTACTTCATCGTTATCACTGAGAAATAACCATAACATCTAGCCAAGAGGAAAAAGTCTTGCAATTTTTGAATTCCTCTTAAAAAATTTCCTCCAGTTGCGTATGCTTTTAACAATGGAATGTAGAAATCCTTAGCGGCTGACGCAATTTTAAATTCACATTGAATTGCTGAGAACTATGTACAGTAAAACAGTAGTTAATCTGAAAACCAGAGTTAATATGCAGTTAAAATTTCACCCCTGGCAAATTTTCATCATATAAATTCTCAGCATGAGTTCAGACAGGCCATGAGCAATAAATTGCCATCACAGAAACACGATTCCAGTGGAAATTTATGTTAATGTTAGAGCCACTGAAGCTTTACGTGCGTCATTTGGGCAAATTAAAAGAGGGATGAGTTGGAATCTAGAATGATAAGGAAATAGGAAAAAGCTAGGAAATTAGAGGGACTCCATATTGTGCCCGATAGACACACAGAGACATATTCACTAGCCCCGGTTTTTTCCCGGTCTTCCGTCTACACCATCCTTTCCTGAAGGGCTAAGAAGCCCAGGGTTTCTAGGCGGGCCCCTCGGTCCGACCAAGCTGCTGAAATTAAGTTTATAGTTTTTCGCGAAGGAAAATGCTTCAGCCGCTCTTCCTTGATCACTCTCCATAATTCCTGTTCTGATCCCACCGATTGAGCAGCAGAGCTTTGGCTGGGTACGATTTCTTTCTTGCATTCGTCGCAGCCTGGGACAAACATGATCCCCAACATAAGCATCACAACAACGACTGCAGCCCCTAAACCAAATAAGAAACCGAAAAACCCCGTGACTTTGAACAGTTTGTTGCACGTGTCTCTGTGGTAGCCATAAGCAGAGTATAAAACATTTTCCGAGGTTGGAAAGATGAGTTCATTAAGCTTATTTGTCTTCAATGTTTCAGTTGCGCGCGACCTTTGAGAACCTGATGACGAAGCAACATTTCGCGAAAATTACACAGAGAAGGGGTGGCTGAATACATGTAAAGCGAAACAATCGAGTAATACATGCACACAATCTTATCAAATTCAATTTTTTTAAGGCTTATCCAACAGATACAGAAAAAGTTACTTAAACAGCTTACCCTGAATACTTATCCCTGGCGTTCATCATTTTCTGTTGGATAATTTGTATTTGGCGGAAAGCAATAATTTTGGTTTTCCTCCAGGTGTCTTCTTCTCCCCCCGTTTCTGTTCAACCCCAATCTCCTCACTTGTTCACGCTGTTCATTAATTCTTGCCGGTTGCCTCTGTTGTACAGCTCTGTCACTTTCCATCAGGAAGTAGAGGATCATTAACATTAGAAAGTCAACGAATCGACTGAAAAAGTCTTGAATAGTGAGCATGATGCGGAGAATGCTTCGAGAAAGAGCCAGCAGAAGAGCAATAAGTAAGCCTCACTACTGATCCAGAAGCTTGCCACGCGACGCAAAAGCCAAACTGAAGGGATAAACCTACCCTCGGTATATTTAGCTGTCACCACAATGTGCTCACCAGGCCAGAAACGACTCCTCAAGTAGTTAACCAAAATGGACCAATTATCTGCGTTTGGATCCACGGGCAATATCAGTTATTAGTTCAATTCAATAAGGCTTATTCACGTGCCAGTGCTCATGAAAATGTCTAAGAAACGGATTCTAAAATGGACCAATGATCTGCGTTTGGACCCACGACATTAGACGAGATCACTTGACCCCAATCAGGCTTTTTCACGTGCCAGAGCATATCTCTCAGTCAGTCTTGCATAAAGTATGGCCGGGCGGCGAAAACATGTGGCCATATTCAATGCAGAATGCTGTTTATGAGACGAAAACAGTGTCTCGGAAATCTCGAAAGTCCGTTTTAAAAATTTTCATTGGTAGACATTTGTGTGTATACACAAACGTTTGCTTCAATTATAAATTCTAACTGAGAGATATGCACTGTCACGTGAAAAAGCCTGATTGGGGTCAAGCGATCTCGTCCAATGTCGTGGGTCCAAACGCAGATCATTGGTCCATTTTGGTGTCGCTTCTGGCGGTGAAGAAACGACGCCAAAATGGACAAATGATCTGCGTTTGGATCCACGACATCATTATTTGCACTCTACTTCGTGCAGTTGTATAATAATAAAAAATATAGACATGACTTTGAAGCTTCATCAGGCTGATAACAACGCCAGACAAACTGAGACAGAAAATACTACCAGCCCCTTTCTTTAATTTCTAAGATAAAGCTCAGAACCATACAAACATAAAAATACTAATTACAATTTATTTGTTCATCTCGTTATAGCTTTCCCTCTCTATCTATTTCTTCTAAAAATGATCAAACTAGGCTCTTTATTATACAAACAAAAAAGTTTATCAGTCGTAAATACGCCTTTTCGGCTTCAAAGTACCATAAACAATAATTTCCGTCGATTCGTTCGTCTTCAAGGACCTGCACAGGGAAAGCGAACAGAAAGTCGAGGAATTTGCCGTTAACATTTGGAGAAGAATGTGCTGTAAACGTTTGGAGAAGCTTTCTTAAAAAGCGGATGGAGTAATAGCAATTAATTCGATCCCACTGTAGACATTGTACTGAATACTTAATTTTAGAGGCGACTGAATAGTGGCTGAATATAAAGCGAACAAATCTTTAAGGAATTTATACGATGTTTACGGGCAATTAAGTTTCTATAAACGAATCTAACTGCGTTTAAGAACAGATTTGGGTGAAGCGACGTCGAAACGTCTTCAAAAATATTTAGCTGTAATCTTTTTTTCCCCTCAGTTTTTCTCCTTTTGGTTGTCTTTCCCTTCTAAGAAAGTTTGAACGTCACTATCTGTAGTGATACGGATTTTTCAGTGTTTTAGTAGCCATAATCCCAAAGAAATCCGACAAACGACCTTGGATTGAGAATGGTACAGGCTTTGCCGTTCATTTGTTCCGTTCATTCATTTGACCGAGTGGCGCGAAAGGCGAGTGACGTGTCAGCAGCTGATTGGCGATATCAAACACAAGTGAAGAAATATCGTGTTGTTACGGCTTTTCTCTGGTCTGGAAATCCTTGTAAAACACCGTAGTTTATGTGATAAATATATAAAAATATTAAACCGCAATTAACCCCAACCCCAACCCGCTCGTCAAGAGACACTGGGTACCAGTCTTTCTCTCGTGAGAGCCGTCTACGGGGTTCTCGTCGCCGATTGACGCCGAAGTTAGGCTGGTTGCCTCTCAATAATTTGCAATTGTTCATGATGCGAATTGTCAACTTTAGCGAAGAATTCAACCCTGAGAAAGAGGAGGAATTATTGAAATCTGTTAAATTCATTATCGATACCGATAGAGCCTTCCTTGGGGATTTCCTTCAACAAAGACAATATTTAGCTAAAAATCGAATGAAAACTGTTCTGGTGGCTTCAAGGGAGAAAACAGCAAAGGAGAACCAATCCCACATTGCATGTGAAATCATATTTGTGCAGTACTTTGCTGGCGGAAACTATGGCTTTGTAAAGTTTATTTCTACAGCTGAGCGATTCAACGAACTCGAAGAGTTGAATCATATCAGACTGCAGTTAGTAAACGAGGCCATTTCAGTGGTAAATAAGGTCAGTTTCTACCTTTTAGATGCCGTTCGTTCATGCTATTATAATTGAATAATTAGAGGGGAACAACTTTAATAGGTGAACCACTGAGCTGGGAAAAACTAGGTCATCGTCTGTTTTCATCTGTCACGAGATGCGTTAGACCCTCCATAATTATAATTAGAATGAGTATTTTTTTTTCTTTCTCCCAATTTAAATATTGCTTTGTTTAAGGAAGGGTGATTTGATTTAATAAAATAAGTACTGGTTTGTTAAGTGTCTTATTTCCTTAAGGTGTTTAGCTATCTAAGGCTAAACAAACTTCAGTTTAAAATAATTCATTATTAATAATATTAAAGAATACCTGTTGAATCATATTAGGTGATCAAAAAATAAAACCATTTAAAAAAAAACTGCTTTTTAACTCCCATGAGTGATCAAGATAAAATTTTCCTCATAATATCAAGCAGACAAGTGATGAGAAAAAAGAAAAATACCAATTAGGGGATTGTAATTGATCCAATACCAAATTCTCCAAACTAAAGTCACAAGAATTATGGCAGATGGTAAGGAAGGGAGAGCTGAAGTGCCAAGGCATTCATAATCAAACATTTAACCATTATAATCCTAAAATAAGGAGCACTAAATTTGGTCACTCTGGGGCTGAGAAGGCAAAATACAGTCAAACCTGTATTAAGCAGTTAATCCCACAGGGAATGGTGTGGTGACGGCTTAATCCTTCAACTCCAGTGAGTGACCGAGACAGACCTTCCCCTTACAATGCACACAGACAAGTTATGAAAAATATATCAATTATGGGATTACTAATTGATCTGATACCAAATTCTCCAAACTAGCATAATGAGAATCATTTGGCAGACAGTAAGGAGAATTGCTGATGAGATCTTGGGAATTACAGGGGTTAATACAAATTTTTCAGAATAAGGGTATTATAAAAATAGATAAATGTGCATGCACTTGCTCAAAAATACAAAAAAAAAATTGATTTTGGGAGACACAAATGGATTAATGTTATGTCGAAGATTTTTCTTAGTTTTATTTGTCTGAGTCGTTCCACTTCAAGTGACTGTTCAGTGCAGGTTGAGGACAATACCAAAAGACAGTTGGGACCCTGTAAAGAGTGACTGCAACTGTTAAATTACAGTCATTAAGGGGTAACAATTTTGGAACTCTGAAAACTGACCACTTAACCCTTTAAATCCCAAGATCTCCTTAGAAATTCTCCTTACTGTCTGCCATACAATTCATATGATGTTAGTTTGGAGAATTGGGTATTGGATCAACCAATAATCCCCTAATTGATATTTTTCTTTATTCTCATTACTTGTCTGCTTGATATTGTGTTGATAGTGTAAGGAGAAATTCTGTCTTGGTCACTAGTGGGACTTAAAGAGTTAATACAGGATGACTGCTTATTAGAGTGCTGCTCTTTATATTTGCAGAAGTGCCAAAAGAATTGGATAATTCTTTGTTTTTGTCTGCCTGCACTTATATTATAACATGTGTCAACTAGCTTTTCTAACCAAATTTTGAAAAACTAAATTGGTTAAAAGAGTACCCGACCAATCTTAAATAGATCCAAACATTTAACAAAAGTGAGGGGAAGCTTGGATACTTTCATTATCATCCAGAATGGCACTGACCAGTATTAACCCTTAAAATCATAAGAATGACCAGCATCTTATTTCTCCTAGCAGTTATACTGCTGAATTATTTATTGAGATCATGAGAGTAAAGGAAATGATTGCCAAGCTAAAAAGCTTTGATTGTTGAAAAATTCTCCTTGTCAGTCTGAAAGAAATGTGTAAAGAAAAGTGTGGAGAATATAGTAACTGATGTTAGGGTGTAAAGTGTTATTTAAATCTAAGGTTGCATCCTTGAGATATGGAGTATTTTTCCTTAACCCTTTTTAAAGAGAACTCCCAAGATCTGATTGTCAATTCTCTTTTCTAGTGGCTACACATTTCCTTGTAAATTAGTTAGGAGAAATTGGTATTAAATATACTTATTATTAGTATTATCACTAGCTAGCTGTTTGTTGGATAATAATTTGGATGTTGTAAGGAGAAATTACATGTTGATTGAACAATTTCTCTACCCAGTTGTGCACCTTAAGTTATGTTGAGAGTGCATCATAAACCATACTTCTCTTGATTTTCTCAGGAGACTACCACAAGTATTAGACTTACTTTAACCTTTAACTCCTAAGAGTGATTGGATTCTAATTTCTCCTCACAATATCACCCTTGAATCAAACATTAAGGTCACAAGAATAAAGGAAATGATCACCAACTAGAGGAGCTCTTGATTGTTAAACAAATTCTCCTTGTCAGCACTTAAGGAAATGTATAGAGAACAGAATGGAGAATATATATACTGATGTTTGGGTGTGAAGGTTTAATGTTACAGCATTTATTATTACTTTTTTTACAGTATGCTCAACGGTGTGGCTTTGATAACTGCAAGGAAATCTTCAGTGTGATTAAAAAGAAGCATAATTCTAAACCTACCAACAAGTGTGCAGAATCAGGTCTTTGCAAGTCTCTCTACATAGCAGGATTTCGATGGATAGAGGCTGATCTTATTTCTTCTGATGTTGAAAGTCAGTGTTGGACTTGTTTGATTGTTTACAGGCCAAATTTAGTTCCTAACTACCAGGTTGAAAATGGTATCAAATGGGGCTACATTGCAACATCTGTACTACTAAACTTTTGTGAAGATATTGTCACTATTTTGAATTCATCCAATTATGGAAAACAAACTATGAGGCAAGTAAAAGCCTTGATGAATAATTTTGAAGAAAGTTCAAGGCTGGATTTAAATGTTGTCCAACCCTCATTTCCTTGGAATGGTATGTATGCAGTGCTCTTGTCAATAACAAATAATTTCAATATCAATATTGTTAGAGCTAAAAATCATTTTTGCCCTTTTGGTGTTGAGTGGCAAGGTGAAAAGGGGCTGTGCCATCTCAAGCTCTACTTTTACTTCTTTAATTTCAGTTTCAGTGGAAACCTGGTTAAGCTTCAGGCAAAAATGGGTCTTTGTGAACATAAAACTTAACCTTTTTCTGATCTTCTTTAGGAAGAGTAGGACCTTCTCCTGCAAATCAGGTTGTGGTTGTTGGTGGAGGGCTGGCTGGGCTTTCTGCAGCAGCTTCTTTGTCTAAGGCTGGTATTCCTGTCGTCCTTTTGGAGGCATCCAATTATCTAGGTAAGGGGTATCAATTTTGAAAAGATCATATCAAGTGATTGCAAATGAAAATGCTCTTATGTGAAAAGTGGTTTATAAAAATGCAGTTGTAGTTCTCAAGAGCCTAAAAACAAGAGCTTGCTGCCTAGAAGAAGAGGAGCTAAGCTTTTAAGGTATCTTTGCAGGTTTTTTTTAGGCAAAACGTGTGGAAAATTTCACTTACAGATTCCATGTTGCCACGCATCTGTCCAGTAATAGATCATAGATGACTCCAAAATGTCTTAGACAAAACAAAAAGTGATTGATGAGGTGCAGCTGAGTGTGACACTGATATCCTCCAAGAAAAGACATGAAACTGCTGTAATCATTTGATAATTGCATCTGATACATTTCCAGGGCTATTGGGGGGGGGGCATCTACCTCCATGATCAGGAACTGATATTTACTTGGATATACTTTGAATTCACCCAGGTGGAAGAGTGAAGCAAGTTCAGCCATTTGAAGGGTTTGCTCCAATTGATCTTGGTGGAGAGTTTATCCATGGATCTAACACTGTGGTGAACAAGATTGCTTGTGACAATGGCTGGGTTGTTCTGCCAGTAAGTAAAGTCATGTACCCTTTCTCGTAATTAAGTTAAAAGGTATATTTTTTAATTTTCACCACCGAAATAAATCTCTCTATTATTATTTGTTATAATTACAAAAAATTTGGCTTGTGAAACAGATTCAAAGCTTGTATGTTGTTGCTGAGCCTCCCATCTGCATGGATAAATGTTGTACAAGCACTAAGTTAATGATAAAGTGATAATCTTTCATGAACACGTTTTGAGGGGGAATGGAGTGTGGTGTGCACTATACGTTAGGTGAATTTTTTTGAAGTCGCCAATCTCCTTTCACCTGAGAACATTTTTGCCGTGGAAAGGCTCATGATGGTGAAAATTGTTTCGAGTGCCATTCTAATAATAGAAGATTTTCATCCTAATGCATAAAAGCCTTTCAGATAAATTTTACGCACATGTCATTTTTTCAGGCCTCTCAATGTGAAGCTGGGGAAGAAGGAGAAAAATTATTCCACAAAGGAAAACTCTATTCGACGAACAGTAATCAACGGGAAATCAGACTTGCTCGAGAAGCGTGGGCCGAACTGATCAACAGCAAATACAGAAATCAAGAAAAGGAAACGGAATATTTGTCTGATTCTGTGAAGGTGAGACTTGAAGAGAAAGGCTTGTCACGTGACGTGTTGGATGTAATTGATTGGTGGAAGATGAAGATATCTGCAGGATCCTTGGATCACTATGGAGTGCGGGAAGGGCGGAGGAGAATGGAGTCCAAATATGAGTGGGGAATTGAAGATTGCAGGTAAAAGAGTTTTTGAATTAGTTTTGTTTTGAAAAAGACGGGGTGATTTCAACATTACTGTCCTAGGACAAGGCTAATAGCTTACGAAATGTACTCTGTTGCTTAACACAGCGCTCAAACGTCTTCCCTCCTGGATATATGCCCTCTCTCGGTTTTTCTTGTTTTGATAGTTAGGAACTCTGCTGTGATTTAGGCATTAAAATGTTAATAATAGGAAAGCAAAGATGAGGTTTTAAGGGAAAAGTTTGAACTGAACTTCCGCTTTTCTATGTTCTAGTTTAGTTCGTGTGGTAAATTTTTATTCTGTTTCAAATGCATTGAAACAAATTCGTTTTTTTATGATGATTTAAAGCTTGATTAAAAACCGGTAAATGGAAAACGCATTTTGATTAACACTTTTATAGTTAGTTTAGAAGCGCTTTTTCTATTCCAGTTATAAGCCCCCTTGGACATAAGGCCCCAGGTTTATAGCCCACCAAAGACCCCTTACGAAGTTGTATAAGCCCAGGGGTTAAAAGCGGCAGTTTACGATTTCGTGATAAAAATGTCTGCCTGTAGAATTCGTGGTATTCTGAAGATAAACCAGGGTCGTAGTCAATTTTTCATACACTGAGTTGTTTACTTGAAGTTGTTTTGGTACAAGGTACCAACGCTCTCTGTCATTGAAACTTTTTCCTTTAGACTCGCGGAATCTTACTTACAGCTGGTGAAGTACTACTTGGTTAACAGTATGGATGTGGATAAGCGTCTTAACTGGCAGGTTAAGGAAGTTGTTTGGAAAGGTTAGCTCTTTCGTTTTAGTTTTTATTTATTTCAGGAATCTGTCAGCGCGCAATTGATTTACAGCAGTAGTTTATTCAGAGAATTGTGGTTACCTGGTTGTAACATTTTCCCTTCGTTAGATTTGAGTTTCGTCCTTTCGTGAGAGTTTCATGAAACTAACCTCTTTCTGAAATTGTTGGCACAGTTATTGTGCCTCTATATGATTATTACAAAGCCTTTGTTTCTCAGCGATGGTTATTTTTTTTTTCATTTTAAAACCTTTTCCTTGTCCTCCTAAAAAAGTTGTATTTGGATGGAATTCGGATTTTGTTTTAAGAGAGCTTAAGGATTCAAATGCTAACTAAAATTTGGCGAGGAAAGAATGTCTTGATTCATATATTTCGGGCAGGAGACAGGGTGAGATCCAACAACAGTGAACGAATTCTTCTGAAAAATCAACATGGCCAGGAGATGACCGCCAAGCATGTGATCATTACCGTACCACTAACAGTCCTCAAAGATGGCGACATAACCTTCACTCCAGCACTTCCCGCTGACAAGAACAAGGCCATACGCACGATACAGATGCTGGGCGCGTGGAAAATCGCTTGTCGTTTCAAACGCCGCTTCTGGCCGGAGAAGCTGCATCAAATTTACAGCGTTCGTGGGTTCGCTAGTGAGATATGGACTTGCTCACATGATTGTCCCGACAGTGACGAAAAATGTCACGTGGTTGTCGGGTTTGAAACTGCCGAGCCCGCGGAAGAGAAACGGTATCTCAGCGGACAGGAAGTGTTGAGAGGATTTTTGAGTCATCTGGATGAGATATTTGGGTATGAATGTACCGCAAAGTTGAGTAGGCCCTAATAGATTGTGCTTGTAAGAGAGGCATATTGTGTCACCAGCATTGTCCAAAAATCAGGCTAAAATTTATGCTCAGTTTTGAAAATTATGCTATTTTTACTTAATTTCCGCTTTTCAAAACCTGAAAAGCAAAATTGGAAACTGATTGATGCAATCATGGAATAGGACTGAAGTGACAATTGTTGCACTGTAATACGCCTCCTGCACTCTGTTAAGTGCTGCTGTAACTTTGCTTTTCATTCTTTTATGACAGCACTTCCTCGGACCCAAGCCCTGCCAGCGACTCGTTCATGGACTTCGTGTACTTCCATTGGTCAAACCATCCTTACATTCGCGGGGGATATACCTCGCCCACTGCGCATGTTTACGAACTCCGTCGCGTGCTCGCCAGCCCTGTTGACGATCGCTTGTTCTTTGCGGGCGAAGCCACGAGTTCAAGGTCATGTTCGACTGTACCTACTGCGATCGAAACTGGAACACGCGCGGCAGATGAAGTTTGTTGTGCGGCTGGAATTCTTCCTCTTGCAAAACTTTAATCATAGCTTTTTTCCTTAAGCGCCGCTGCGGTGCCAGATTAAAGTATTAGGAACTTATTTGACAGTGTTGCCAAGGGAGAGACGTCGAGTAGTTGGAAATTAAGAGAAATTGCTAATGTGGCGCCACGTGCAATTTACTGTAACCTGGGAAAGAGATTTTGATACTCAAAACATTTGATCTATGTATGAAATAATATTGTAAAAAAACCCACAGCAAGCTTTCAGCGAGACACCACACTGATCAAGGATTTTCCAAGCTAACTTGATACTGAAAATGAACGAGTTAAGACTAAATTCTTAATGGCTCATCAGTCGAGCACAAGTGCCGACTGATAACCCTTTAACTCCCAAGAACTGATTATTAATTCTCCCCTCTAACTTCACACATCTCTTGCTGAATAAGTTTCCAGAATTTGGTGTTAGATCAAGATAACAACTTTCACCTAATAGTTTGAGTATTCTCACTACCTGTTTGCTTGATAGCGTTTGACTACAGTTGGAAGAAGTTACATTTTAAATCTCTTTCTGGGGTATTGTGCATACATAAAAGCTTAAAAAGCTAACATGTTAGAGAATGGACCTGCTGAAAAACCACCAAACATTAAGTTCGGCTGAAAATAAGGAAATTTGCTGAAAAATAAAACCCAGAGCACAAGGAAAGGCAAAAAACAAAATGAAGGTACTAATAATATGACAAGGAACAATTACTTTGACCTGTGCCCTTTATTAATGGCATTCCGTGACCAAATGCCGAGGAAGCTTTAAAAATCATTTCAAAAGTACAAAGCACTTTACACTGGCGTACTGTCTCCAAATAAGCGAGGACTCGATGCTTCCAAACAAAAATTATTAGTTCTGTGTATAGAGCTAAATGTCTTACTCCTGTTAGGACTTACTACAAAAAGGCTTGATAAATGTCGCTCTACACAAGAGGAGCGCAGCACTTGTGGTTAATCTTTAAAATCTTAAGCTGTTTCTTCTCAATCCTGGTCTTCGTCCATTAGTCTTCTTTTGCGATCCCGTTCCCTTGCAGTCTGGCTCTCCCTAACTTCCTAACAGCTTCTACCTTTGTACTATCACTTAAGCAATCGTAACTATTTTGAGCAGTCGGCGGAGGTTAAAAATTCACTCTTTAGTAGATTATTACGACTATTACGTCACGAACGTAAAGGGTTTTCGGAGGAATTACAACAATCATCTCAGACATTTCACGAAATTTCTACGTGACTAGAAATGTTTGCGAAACTACTCTGATCCGCGACATCCGGGTTCAGGAAACCCAGGATAATAAACTCAAATCTTTCCACCCTCAGTTCAGGCTACACAGAAATAAACGGGGAGGAAAAGTCTTCAGTTTTTCTTCAAACACTCCACGAGGCATTTGTAAACCTTTGTTTATTAGTGCGTGCTACCTTTACTTTGCCGAATAAAAGTCGCTCCTGAAATACAAGTGCGTACGTCCTCTCGTCAGGAAATTCCTTGGACAATCATGGTTACTATAACTCTAGAATTTTCTAGTTTCCGGGCATCTCTGGTATCATATTTCAAATTAAATAGCATTTATATGAATTAAATGGCCAGAAGATCTGATTTACTCTCCAAGTTGTATTATTAAACAATGGAATTTGACAATTTAATCAACAGCTTGTGATGGTTTCGTAACGTTACTTGCCATAGCGATCTGGTTCCATATTTCCTTCCTGGGGAATAAAAGTTTTGCCAGATAAGGAGAAACCCGATTTTAGTTCCTGCTGAAACTGTACTTGAGAGACTGAACCGTCAATTATACGGCTTCTTTCGTCTCTGCCGACCAGTTTCAAGAAAATTCGACAAACAGCCATAGGAACAGTGAATTCAAGGATTTTCAGCCTTATCTTTGTCACCTTGTCGTGGATCGATGATCCTAAGTGTCTTAGTTAAAATGGACAGAGCATGGTTACAGAGGGTACCGATAGAGAACATTAATAAACATCGTTTCCCGTGAAAAGAACAGAGTTGACCGGCTAGTACTAGAGAGAGAAGAAAAGGGAGAAGAAGACGAGAGATCAAAAATTACACAGTTCCACCAAACTGAAAATATCCTTAGAAAATGATGAACGCCAGAGTTGCGTAGAGGGAGACTTTTTCTAACTTTTTTTAAAATTATGTATCGAAGAGACAGACTAAAAAAGAACACTTTAATTTGTGCTTGTTTTCCTCATTAATTGTCATGAATTACTCCTATTAAAGAACACATCCTCTCACATACCGGTCATTTTCTTTCTTTAGTTAAATTGCAGACATTCCCAACTTGTTTCAGTTTTTCTTAGGTTTTAAGGATATTTTTGAGATTTTCTGTTTCAGTTTTTCTGAAGTTTTGATGATATTTTTGAGAATTCCTCTTTCAAGCCTCAAGCCTCTTTCTGAGGCTTTGACGATTTTTTTTTATAGATTTCCTGTTTTAGTTTTTGTGAGGTTTTGACGATATTTTTTAAAATTTGGTTTCCTTACGTAATTCGTTTCTTACCAGTGCCAACTTTTATTTCCCGGGGGGATATTTTTGGCCTTTGACCTGCATTGGGCTGGGGAACGCTTCACTAGGTTAATGGACGCTGCAGGCGCGCAGCAGCCATTAGCGTGCGGAGGCGTCGATTTAATTTTGCCATAATGACCTTAATTGCCATTGTTTTACACTTAATTCACGTTTAATTTTCATCCGCTCAAAATCTCTAAATTGAGCCAGCAGTTTGTTTTATACACCTATATATTTATTGTAAATCTGAGATGAATTCGAAAGTGGTAAACATTGGAAATACTTTGACACTGTTATTGTGCTGAGACGAAGATTTTAAATCAATCAGACAACGCTCGGCATTATGAGGACCGGATATTGGCTAAGCTTTTTAAGCTTTATTTGAGGTTTTCACCACTCCAGAGTTCACGGTTATAATCCTATAAGATGCCACAACGAGTATTTATAACCATGACCACAAAGGGACGTTATTTTTTTATGAAAGGACCCTTAAGTGAAATCTGTATTAAACTCCGTCACAGTCCGTTTCACTCTGTCGTGACTCCGCCTCTTTGTTTACTCATGGACTGGACTCGTTTTGGGAATGTTTGCGTTCCATATGTGAAGATAAAACTGTGGCCGTCCGGTCATAGCCAACAAAAGAATGTTTCAATTCTTTAAACAGTGAAGATGATCGAACTTGTTTCCTGATCTTAATGTTTCCAGCGTCAGTCTTCATAGTAAATATGTGATAAGATAAGTTACACAGACAACCATGTCTCCTATTGAATTGAAGTATTCTGCTGTTTAATTGTTTTTATGAAGAAAAGAGTTGCATGAATCCATGGATTCAATTGATATGGGCTAGAAGTTAGTAAAGCTTTTCAATTTTACAGACGGATTAAAATTTGTCTTTATTAAGTTAGTGGTAAAAAAACGTATAACCTTCAACTGTTTAGTTTCGAACAATAAAATTTGATGTATTGTAGACAATGTTTACTGAATACACTATAATTTTGACAGGTTAACTGATTTACCCTCAGAAACTCAAGAATCATATCTAACGCATGAAGTGAATTTTTTTTTTAAAGACGATAAAAAAATTGAACCTTGTATGTGCCTTAAATGGCATACAATAAAGATTTATTTCCCTCGGTTCAGTTAAAATTTCAACCTTTCGAAAAAATGTTTACGCCTTAAGGAACTTGATATGTTAATGGTCGTAAATGGCTTTCAATAGCTAGTCCGTGACAGGACGGATAATGCATGCACTGTAAGTACCTCCCGTTGTTCCATACAAAGCCTTAGAAAAGTTTTCTAAGGCTTTGTATGGGACAACGGGAGGTACTTACAGTCCACGCGTTTTCCGTCCTATCAAAATCATTTATTTTGACAGTTCGTTTGATTTGGTTCAAACGGCCGGCCTTATTTGTCTGACGGGAAAGTTTTTGCTGGTATCACACTGTTGAATGGAAATAATTTTTTAGCTCAGTATATGGCGTGTTCCTCTTGCTAACGTGCTTTCCAGACAAGTTATACAGACAACCATGTCTCCTATTGAAGTATTCTGCTGTCTCATCTGTGTCACACTACTGTTGTTGATCATTTATTTCCTGATCAGAGTGGAAAGAGTTTTGGTACAGGGCTTTGAAGGACACGTAGAAAACTATGAACATCTTGTTCAACTGATCAGACGGGAGGTGACCAGAAACGAAGAGAGGAGAAGATTAAGGAGAAGAAGGAGCGAAAGTCACATTGTTCCACCCAAAACAAACCATCCTATCGAGCATGATGAACGTCAGAACTAAGAAACAGAGTAAGGGTAGGTTTTATTCTACCTGAGCATTTTATGATTGAAATCGTCTATATGGGTCTACCGTTCATTTTTTCCGGAATAAGATCGTCTTTCTTTGCTTATAAATACGGTATCCATATAAATTCATTGAAAAAGATCTAAGAAATATCATCACCTAAGATAAATCTTTGAGCATTCCTCTCTAAATTTTTTTTCCATTTAAAGGTAAAGGACGACAGGATTTAGTAAAGAATGTCAGCAGTTAGTCCAGAAGATATGGAAATACTTGTTGTAAAATTCTCATGAAGCCTGTTGTTTCTTAGTTGCTGCTTTGTAGCCATGATGAGCTATTTTCAAAATATTACCTTGCGGAGAAGATGGGTTTACTCAACAAGGAACAGAGAAAGTTCTAGATATTATCGTTTACAATTGTTTTCATGAAGAAAAGAGCTGCATGAATCCAGGGATTTAATTGATATGAGCTTGGAGTTAATGAAGCTTTCTTTCAATTTTACACACTGATTAGAATTTGTCTCAAAGTTCACGGTGGTAACAAAACATATAAAATTGATATCTTTTGTGTTCAATTAGTTCAACTGTTTGGTTTTTAACAATTAAATTTGATGTATCGTAGAAAATTTTCACTGAATACACTATAATTTCGGCAGGTTAACAGATATACGTTCAAAATTCAAGAATCATATGGAACGCATGAAGTTCACACATAACACGAAAAAAAAGACACAATTAGACCTTGTACATGCCTTAAATGGCATACAATAAAGATTTATATCCCTCCGGTTCAGTTTAAGTTTCAACTTTGCGAAAAAATGTTTCCGCCTTTGTGGACTTGATATGTAAATGGTCGGTTGTAACTGGCTTCAATAATTGATGGAGATTGTCTCAACTGCAAGAGTTAGTGTTTTATCGTAAGGTTCAAAACTCATATTTCTTACATTTTCGATTTTTCGTCTAATTCAAATGTTGTGTATGTGAAAAGGTAGTCGGTGGTTTATTGCAATAAAATGTTGTCCTTTTGTGCTCTGTGAATTTTTGATTAAAAGGGGTTCCTTTTTGTGGCTCTGTTTACTAATTTCAGGAGCCCATTACTCCTGCTAATTTATGTTCAGCCATGTGACTCAGGGCCCTTGCAAGAACGAATTACATTAAATAAATTATAATCATAAATAAATTATCTGGATCGATCTTCCTTGGTTAAACGGAAATGACAAAGTAGAAGACACATCAGAGCTCATTTCAAGTTTGCCACAGAGCGCCAAATAAGTAACAATTATATCACAATTACATCACCATTCGAAATTGAACCGAAGTTAATTTCTCAGGTGCGGATACGGGCTGCCTATGAAACAATAAACCAATGATTATCTATGCAGAAACAGGTGAAATTTACAGAAAGAATAGATTAAAAAAGTAACAGCTGGTCTGTGTCTGAAAAACTCCCCCTCGGTTTATCCTTATCTGATAAAGATTTTTTTAGCGCTAAGAACGTTGTAGTCTGTGATTGGCTAAGCTCCTTTTTGTTTATTTAACTTTTAATTAAAACTATTAGGGTGCCATACTTCTAAATTACTTTAGGTAAGGAATCAGAATTTTTTAACTGTTGCCACTTGCTCCTTTGAAGCTACGCCAACTTATTTTGGTTAGAGATCATTCTTCGAAGAACCATGTTATTTACAATTCAGGAATTTTTGAGCTTATTCTGTACCATTTTACTGCTGTTGATCCTCAATGTCTTGTTTAAAATCTGCAAAGCTCTGCGTCAAAGGGAACCCGTGGCGATTGATAGAGCACTTGTAAGAAGACTTGAAGCAATCAGAAACAGACAGAGGGGCTGGCGAGGAGAGAGCGAAAACCACAGTGTTCGGATGAGGAGAAACTGTGCCACTGAACATGACGAACGTCAAGGCTGATACAATTGTTCAATTTATTCTGAACATGAGAGGAAACTCTGATAGTCACAGCAACTTTGTTTCATTTCCTTCTGCTGAGCAAGTTAATGCGTCCTCATAATAATATTGCACAACCCTCAAGAACGACTCTCCTGTCATGTTGGACATGCATGCTTTTAAATTTATTTGGTTGTTTTTTTTCCTCTGCAGACAAAAAAAAGAAGAAGTTGTATTTCGTTTTGCATCGCGCTACAGGGAGATGTGTTTAAAATTGATTAGAGCCGAGGGTAAATCGGCATCTGGTGGTTTTTCATGAATATTTCACTTGGGCCATTCTTGCATTGATAATTGTAATTATAAACAAATATTTCTGGAAAGATATTGTAATCTCTTAGAAAAATAAGAGACAGTTATTATGGTTAGTAGTAAGCTATTATTTCAGTAAAAGTAGTTTCCTAGCTAATAATGACTGTTGGCGTTAGACAGTACACAAAGCAAGAATATATTCACATTGCAATGGAGCGAACGCTGACATAAATCGAACTACGCCGCGTCAGAGAAATGTTTTATATTAACGGAACCTCTTAGCGTCTATCAAATTTCAGTTGGTTTATTAAACTTGAAAGCTCGTAAAAACTGAAATACAATAAATTAAAATAGGCCATTACCATGCAATATACGCTGATCAAAATGTCCTATACTCGAAAACGCGGGGCTTGTATATAAATAAATCAAACAACACAATATCCTAAGCAAAACAAAACTACCTTTGATTATACACGTTCCGGTATATAAATACAAAAATAAACAAGATGACATACCTCTTTACCCGTTCTATTATTCTAGTATTTCGACAATCCTTCGCTGTGCTTGCGACTAACACGTGTCTCGTGGCCGAATGAATCCGGTATAATGCCGACAATAGTTCGAAAGTATGTCGCAAAACAAAAGGGTATTGAAAGTCACGCAAATCACAACTAAAAATAGCCTTCGTTGTACACATACATTGACGGTTTTGATGAAGCTGAAATGCTGACATACATTTTGTATTTCCGCGTAATGACACTTTTCTTTTGAGAGCCAACTTTATTCATTTATATTGAACAACTATATATAGGTTATTTCACGGTTGGTGAGCGCCTACGATTTTTATTCACAAGTTGTATAAGACAAACGAACGAGCGCAGCGAGTGAGTTTGTTTTACACAAGTGAATAATAACTTATTTGTGTCCGGAGCGATAGAACGCTCCGGACACACTTGGCGATTTTTTCGCCGATCGCGACAATGTGACACTTCAGCCATTTCGTGAGCTTATTTTTCTCCCCCGTTACCCTATTAGGTTATACTTTAATGACTGCACAGCAATTTCAATTTCACTCAGCACTTAATTTACGATATTTAAGCTGAGACGTGGCTGGAAACCATTCATCGCCTTTATTACATGTACCGAGTTTAAAACTAAACTTGTTGAAAGAGATGCACTTCTGAGAGAAAAATAACAAGGGTACATGTAAATTTCGTCGCTTGCACGTGATTTTATTTTTTTTGTTTTTTTGTCGATATTTAGGCTGAGACGTGGCTAGAAATATCAGACACCATTCATCATCTTCATTTTATGTGCAGTTTAAGTTAAACTTGTTGCGGGCGGCACGCTTTTGAGAGAAAATAACAAGGGTACATGCAAATTTCGTCGCTTTGCACGTGATTTTTTTTTTGTCGAAATTGAATCAGTTGCGTCATTTAAGAGGCCATGCGCCTAAGAAACGACCGAGGATTTCTGGCTAAAAATTAAAATCGGCCGATTTTTTTCTCCAAGTAGAGGTTACCTAATACTATTTAAAAATGAATTTCTTTTGCTTCAGTTTCGCTTTAAACCAAAAATATCGAGCCGCAAACTTGTTACGTCTGATAGCAACAAAATCTGTCCCAAAATATGCCCTTTGAAAAACCGGTTCAAAAATCACTATTGCAACACAAAATAATGAGAAAACTACGCAGTTATGAAGAAAAAGGCCTTTTAATGCAATATCATTCGATATAACAGAGAAGTGATGGGCTCATGTCAACAGTTGATATGGGCAAAGGATCTTGTATATTTGAAGCGTGGTCTGGGATTGATGGTAAATGTCTCTGAATTACAACACTTAATGGTAATTTTTTTTTATATGATAAGGTTTGGAAAGTAAAAGCTGTAAAACCTAAGAGCTGACCAAACTTAGATTGCTGTTTTGACATTTTTTGGTTTTTTTATTTTCTTTGAGTGACCCGTAAGGATAAGAAACAGTACAAAATGAAAAAGACCTCTGATAGGTTCTCGTGTTGTTGTTTTTTTTATTTTAAACGTGTGGATGGTACTTGATTTTTAATTCTCAATTAATAATTGAAACGCATAGACGAGGTGACCATTCTTTGGTTTTCATTGCAGAGACTCTTATCCCGCTTAAAAGAAGCACCAAAAACGCTAGCCTGCGTTGCTGGCGGTATGCGATTTTGGGAACGGAGAGAAAAATGAAAAGCCGCCCCCAAAATCATAGACCCCCAGCAACGCAGGCAACAAAAAGGCCAGTTTTATTGTGTTCTCAGTTGTTTTTTGTGAATTCCAGACGAAGAATTTCTAATCACTTTCTATTAGAACTGCAACAGAAAATTAAGGAAAAAATAGTCAAATGAAACCTGGAATTCTTTTGCTTCCGGGTAATTTACTTCCGGGTTGCGCCATCTTGACATTTTTTCCGAGAGGTCCTAGGGATGAGTTTATGTAATCAAAATGGCGGCATATTTTGCACCGTAATAAATTTATTCCTAAAATATTCCAGCGAAGTATGGAAGGTCTATTTGTATATGACAGTGGTTCATCGTCTGAAGAGAGCGATGAGTCCCCGAACAGGAAACTAAAGGTTACGGAATCTGATAACATCATAATTTACGCGGGGAGCAAAACAAAACCGAGAATGGAAAGGTAGAGTCTCGTCTCAAACCTGGAGAGCAATGTAGATTATTTTCAAATAACCTAACTGAATCAAAACTCATTGCAAATACCTGTAACTCATCTGTGAGTACTCAAAATGTTTTTTCTGGACCCTTTATTGATGATAAACAAAAAACCTCTCGACGCGGTTATTTCCGTACCAGAACTGAAAAGAATACAAAATCTCCAGCATTGTTCAGTTCAGGTAACCAGAAAACGATGTCATCTTTGATAAGTTCAGGACCAAACGTCAAACCTTATGTGTCTAAGAGACAAAGAGAAAAATTGGCTCAAGCAACATCCTCATCTCTCATGGTGAATAAGTCGTTACAAGACACTGATTTTAACCTTGAGAAATGGGTAATTGAAAGGAGCAAATTATCACCCAGGTAAAGCTGAATTTACAAACCGCAAGGACACAGATCAAGTATGCAGACCATCAAAGAAGTTGCATTTAAATCTTAAAGGTCACACTCAGGTTGTTAACTGCATCAGATGAAATGTTACATAGAGACAATAATCATTTGTTGTTGTCTGCATCAATGGATCATAAATGTCAAATGGAGTCAGTGTGTGTCACAAGTGCTGAGTTGTGGTTATGACAAAACTGCAAGACTGTTTGATGTAGAAACAGGTATTTGAAACATTTATTGTGGGTGTATTAACAAAAGTTGTGAATGTTCAACTTTTGCTCTACAATATGAAAATATTAAGCAAGAGATCGGTGATAAGGCAAGGGAAACATAACTAGGTGGAGAGTGTTATCTTGTATACTCAGGCGTGGTGCAGCACATTGAAGTGTGTGTGTGTGTGATTGAGGGTGGGTGGGGGAAACTGACATCCCGTATATTAACCCTTTACACCCTAACATCAGTATGTATATTCTCCATACTGATCTCCATATGTTTCCTAAGGTGCTGACAAGGAGAATTTGGTTAGCAATGTAGAGCTTCTTTAGTTGGTGATCATTTCATTCATCCTCGTGACCTTAATGTTTGATTCTATGATGATATACAGTAGTAAGGAGAAATTTGATGTTAGTCACTCTTAGGAGTTAAGGGTTAAGCCAGGTACAAACTGTTCCTTAAATTATCCTAAAAACTCATAATTTCTGCTTCTTGAAACACAGGTTGGTGCTGATCAAAGGTAAAATGGCCTAGCACCATATATAATTTTGCGCAATCATATTATAATCCTGATGAAACAATTTGAAAAGATTACAATACTAAATATTTTGCCAAACTAATTTTATGTTGTGCTAACAATTTTGTGGAGCCTGAAACATTGGGGGCTGAGCCCTCCACCAAATATTTGCATGGAGAGCTGGAGTTTCTCCCCCTGCCCTCCCCTGCCCCTGCACTTGTTCTTTGTGCATTTTGAGCAAAAACAAAAAAGCTGTTACAATGTGAACATTGTTTTGTATATATTTCTTGGACGTGGATGAAACAGATTGTAAACTACAGTATAGCTAATTCACAGCACTTGAACACTTGACACAAATAAAAATAACCAGGCCACAAAAAAAATGACAGGCACACAAACTAACTAATAATGTTTTTGTCATTTCACCACAATAGGATAATAATTGGATAGAATTTTCATTGGGAATGTCTTTTTTTTGGTAGATTGCAACAACATACTCAGCTCTATTTGGTCCAGTACAGGATATCACATTTCTACCATGAGCAGAAGAATTTGTTTCTGTTGCTGATGTTGTCAGACAGAATTCAACAGACAAGGGGATTATGGTGTGGGATTTTAGATCAACAGCAGTTTTATCAAATCAAATTTATCAGGTAATTAGACTGCACTTTAAGAAAAGTACCCCAAACCTTTTACACCCTGACATCAGTATACATATTCTCCATACTGTTCTTTATACATTTCCTAAGGTGCTGACAAGGAGAATTAGTTGAACAATCAAGAGGATCTTTAGTTGGTGATCATTTCCTTTATTCTTGTGACCTTTGGGTGTCATTCAGGGGTGATATTGTAAGGAGAAATTAGATGCTAATCACTTGTATTTTACTCATGAGTGATAAAAGTATATTAATTTTGGTATTTTCAGGAAGCTTTTATATGCACTTGCTTGAAGGTCCACCCTTATGATTCACACTTTGTGGCACAGTCAAATGGTGACTACATTGCTTTGTTCTCAACAAGAAAACCATACAAGCCGAATAAGTTCGAAAGATATGAAGGCCATAAGGTAATAAACTTTAATGTGTTACAATATCAATTACCTTATTATGGCATGCAATCTTGAAAAATTCCCTACCCTTGGAGGTTGGTCCATCTGAGAAAAAAATATGTTCCAGTGAAAATCCTTTGGTTTGCAAGTCCACATGGGAAAGGCCCATTTCAAACAAACTTTCCCCCACCCCCCCACATTAATTCCTTGTCAGGAATCCCCAATCACATGCCAGGCCTGGTTCTCACCCCATCTTTGGCTCACTGTCTCAATAAACTCACTTTCATTCACAATTCATGAAGCAAACAGAGTGATATTTACTTTCATTTTGGAAAGCTTGTGATGTGGAAAGTGTGACGCAGAAACAGATTTCAAAGTCAGATCCATCCCTTAAGGGAATGTAAAGGACCCTACAAGAAAAAGGTTTTGATAAAACTGAACACTTCTTTCTTATTAATCTTTAATTTGTTACTATTAGGTTTGTGGTTATCATATTGGATGTGATTTCAGTCCTGATGGAAAAATAATTTGTTCTGGCTCAGCAGATGGGAAAATTTTTTTCTGTGATCACAGCATGGCTCGTGTGATGAGGACAATAGAGGCTCACTCTGCTCCATGCACAGATGTTGCCTACCACCCCACCCTACCCAGCTGGGTGGCAACCTGTGGGTGGGATGGGCAGGTTAAAGTTTGGACATAATATCTGAGCAAAGCAATTTTCAAATAATAGTTCCAAGATCAACTAATGATCGTTTACAATTGGTTTTGTGTTCCTTTACTCTATGATTGGTCTGGAAAACTCCATTCTCAACTTCCACTCCACCAGATATTATTGACCCTTTGCACCCTAAGAGTGATAAGCATCTAATTTCTCCTTGCTCTATAAGCCCTGAATCACACATTAAGGTCATGAGAATACAGAAAATGATCACCAACTAAAGAAGCTCTTGCTTTTTAAACAAATTCATCTTGTCAGAACCCAAGGAAATGTATAAAGAACAGTATGGAGAATATGCATACTGATGTTAGGGTGAACAGGGTTAACTAAGAGTGATTTTGCCTCGCTCAATTGCATCTTTTACCTTGTGATATGCATTTTAACCATTTAACCCCTAAGAATGACTAGCATCTAATTTCTCCTTACAATATCACCACTGAATCACACATTAATGTCACAAAATGAGAATAAAGGAAATGATCACCAACCAAAGAAACTTTTAATTATTAGACAAATTCTCCTTGTCACCACCTTCGTAAATTTACAGAGAACAGTATGGAGAATATGAATGCTGATGTTAGGGTGTAAAGGGTTAATTGTTTCTGTCATTATTAGAACAATTGTTCAAATGAGTATAAAAGTAATCTGGGATTGTTTTGGTTTTGCTTCACTACACCGAGTGACCAATCAAAAATTTCCAGCCACTGTCTTAACCCCTTCATTCCCAGGATCTTGTTGGTAATTCTCCTTACTGTGTGTCATACAATTCTTATGATATTATTTTGGAGAATTTGGTATTGGATCAACTAATAATCCCCTAATTGATATGTTTCTTTATTCTTATCGCTTAGTCTGCTTCACTTAGCAGTAATAATGTAAGGAGAGATTCTGTCTTGGTCACTCACAGGAGTTAAAGAGTTAATCAACTAGATTTAATATAAAAACTAATCAATAAAATATATAAAAGCCTTGTTCACTTGCATTTTCCCATTCTTTGGGCAGTTTTCTTGTTTTCACTTTGAGTTCATGTTGGCTTCCTGAGATGCATGTAACTATCTGTGCTCTGATTGGCTTTGATCACTTTTGGATTTACCACACCACAGTGGAAGTGTACATAATTCAAATTTCTTTGGTTCCCCATTATTGCAAGACAATTAAAATCTTAAGCAATTATCTGTTCATGAATATACTCATATTTTATTCAAGTCTTATCTCCTTGATATAAAGTTGCATATGAAATACTGATCAATCTTTAATCCAACTATTGGGCATACACTTGATACCAAGCCACATAGGATCTTTCTTTCTTCATTCCTGTTCCTATTCCTTTGGGCACTCATATATTGAGATGGTCAACTGAAATCAGTACATCAAGAAGTTACCTAAGTGTTGTGCAATTGTAGCTTAAAGAATAATCTCAATTTTGGAAAAAGGCATGCAGGAATGAACCCTTTAACTCCCAGGAGTGATTTACACTTAACTTCTCCCTACAATATCCATTCATTAACCAACAAACATTTAATGAGATTACTCAAACTTATCAGTTAGAGGTTGTTATCATGATATAACACCAAATTCTTGTAACTAAATTACAAGGAAATGTGTAACAGCTAGATGGGAGAATTAACAATCAGATCGTGGGAGTTAAAAGGTTAAAAGAACTAAAAAGAAAGGTAGAGACTAGCAATAAGTTTCGCTTTGAATCAGAACTGTGTAACATTATCACAAAATAAATTATTGCTTACCAAAGTTTGCGGGTCTTGATTACTTTATCGAGAATTATGGTCTGAAACTTGTCTTCTATTTCAAAAACAATCTTGATTACACATGGTCTTATTCTGAACTGAAATACTAACGATAATTTTCTATGTTAAAAGCGCTTATCAGAGAGGTGACAATCTAACCAGAAATATTCTGCAGTTTCTCTTGGAAGCAGTAACATTCAGCCTTAAAGGAAGCGAAAAGTATGAAAAATATAGAAACTGATGTGAGGCTGTAAAGTGTTATTCAAATCTTAGGGTGTATCCTTGGAATATGGAGTATTTTTTAGGCCAAATTTAGTTCCTAACTACCAGGTTTAAACTGGGGCTAAATTGTAACATCTGCACTACTTAACTTTTGTGAAGATATTGTCATTATTTTAAATTCATCCAATTATGGAAAACAAACTATGAGGCAAGTGAAAGTCTTGATGAATAATTTTGAAGAGAGTTCAAGGCTGGATTTAAATGTTGTCCAGCCCTCATTTTCTTGGAAATGTATGTATGCAGTGCTCTTGTCAATCATAAACAAAAGCTCGCTGCCTAGAAGAAAAGAATACGAGGTTTTAGGGTATCTTTGCAGTTCTTTATGGTAAAAAAAAAAAAGAAATCTTTTTTCCAGGCTGGCGGGATCGTACTCTCTGCTTTTAGAGCGTTTCCTGAACAAAAGCTCTGAAGTCGAAAAACGGCTGTGTTGGCAAGTGCCAGAGATTAACTGGAAAGGTGAAGCTGTTCGAGAGACATTTATATGTCTTTATATAACACGTTGTATGATATTCCATGCACTCGCCCCAAATGAGGGCTGATATTAATCGAATAAAGTAATTTTATTAAGTGTCGTTAAACTTAGAACAAAAGTTTTTCCAGAGACCAATAAGAGCTAAGTTAAATACCACAAAGAGCCAATGAGAACTCATAGAGATAGCGAGCATACTGATTGAAGCACGGGAAATGGAATCGATCAAGTCGCGGTTGGTTTTAGTTTTGCGACTGATCAGTTGAGAGGATGGTACATGTTTCATAAAACAACCAAATGGCAAAATTAAGCAAAACTAAAGCAATCTTAGATTGCGTTTGACACTCAACTGAAAACTTCCCATCAAGGTACGTTTCCAGGTTTTTTCTTTGTGTCCTGCTCGTGACAAGACGAAAAACACCTTTATTTCTTTACGAAGGTCACAATTTATCAGCTTTCTATTTCCTCATAGACGAAAAAAACACCTTATTTTATTTCTTCACTAAGCTCAAAATTTATCAGCTTTCTGTTTCCATTTATTCACATAACACTTTAAAAAATGTGGATCCCGGCAGTGCTTGCAGGACTGGGCCCAGTTGCTCGAAGGCCGATCAACGCTAACCCAGGGTTAGAGTTTAATCCAGGTTTCTTTATTTCTCTTTTCAAAGTCTTTTAGGGAAAAATTTCCCTAGTTGTTTTATTAGAACATCCGATGATCAAATTGCAAGCAAAAAGATTTGAACTTAATTTTCTTTCAAAACCTACAGACCTGACATCAAATTCCACACTAACACCTTGGTTATCGTAACCCAGCTTGGAACAACCTGGGCCAGGTGTCATATATGAACTTAGGGTCTTTGTAACTGAATTGTAGAACATCGGAGCACGGAATCCCAATTCTGAGATTTCCAGCAGGTCTCAGAATTGTACTTATATGACGCTCTTAACTTGTTGAGTTGCATGACATTAGACGTGAAGACATTAGTTTATCTTTTTGCATTACAAAGATAAGCTTTTCACGGTGTTAGATTGCTCAAGAAACATTGGAAATGCACCAAAGAAGGCTTAAAGAAGACAACCCATTGGGCGGCGTACTCTTTTACAAATCCAAATTCTTGGTATCCTGTACTTGAACGTGCCATGATCCTGTTGGCCATACCAGTGATTCAACCGTTACCACCTCTACAGGTGACACTTCATAGCATACAGAAGATGAGGGACTGGGCGTAAACATTTGTTGCAGCCTTTCCGACAGGAAACAACGATGGCAAGAGCTGGAACTTCCCCGTTGTACCTCTATCAGAGAGAAATTTAGCCGGGGGAACCGGTCAGCCTCGAACTCTCAGACTTTGAGGAGCAGCAAGAAAACAGCGGGAAACAAGACGAAGACTAAGATGGAATATTCGAGTACGAGTGTGATGATGGTGACATTCCATCTTTAGAACAATTGCAAGAGGCTGATTTTCACCTCGGAAGAGCTTCCCGCTTGGTAAGAAGAATTCGCTTCAACAGCAGAATTGTGTTCAGTTAAGTTTTCTTTATTTCCCTTGTTACGAAAGTATGGGATTGTCGGCATCTTTTGTGTTTTATGCACTTGTAGACATTGTTATTCTTTCTTTGATACCGAACTGTCTGTATCGATACGTTTGTCCGTGATCGAAGTTTAACGGAAGGTAGTCGTTTCCGTGACTAGCCTACGTTATTAGGGCAAAACTTTGAAAAATTCTAAAATGAACGATATCTTCATTTTGGTGAAAATAGATAAACTTTCGCCTTTTGGTGACCATAGTCTTCAACAGACCAATGCTGGTTGAGAAAATCATCTCTCACCGAAAAGGCTCTCCTAAGTTTAGGAAATGGACTAAACCGTTTGATTGAGAAAAAAATGTTAGTCGGGGAACCCTATTGGAGACCCTCATCGAATGGCGTCACTCTGTTGAGCGCAACGTATCGTATTTCAGATCTTGCTTGCTTCGCTGATTGAAATGGTAACATGATCTCTTGAAGAATAAAAAAAATTTATCTTCAAAGTTTCCACGATGAGCAGATCAAACCTCTTTAGATGTTTCTGCAAGGAAAAAGTCTTTTTTTCAATTACGTGCCGAAGACGCCACTTTGAAATTATTTTGAGATGTTTATCATCTATTGAAGCGTCACGGTTAGAACTGAAAAATTATATCTTCGGATCTACCAGGAATAATTCGCTGATTCAAACAGTAAAACGCTCTCTTTCCAAAGAAAAGAAAAATTTCGTGGTAAATTTTCATGATGCGTCAATCACTCCCCTTAAGACGTTTCAGTAAGGTAAAGCTTTGTTTTTTTCACGCGCCATTCTGAAATGATTGTGAGATGTTCATCGTCTTCTGAAACAAACAATAAGTAGAATCGAAAAACAGTGTAATCACCTGCTAATATTTCGTGTAACATTCGAAGCGATTCGAAGAAATCGTCACTAATCGTTGAACGATCGAAGATGTTCCGAAACGAACAAAAGCCAAGAGCAAGGAATATCGAGTAAAACTCGGCAAACTTCGTTGTGGGCGAAGGAGTCGTTCGCATTCTATTGTTACCCTCACTCACTCAACTGGACAACATTATGGCTTCGCCTTCATAGGAAGCAGTAGCCATAAGAAGTGAAATATTTGTTAACCACAATCTGTCAATCACAGGGATATAGATTGAACCGTGGTACACATGTACTTGAAGATTCTGCTGGAGACTTGCAAGTTGGGATCAATTATAAACAGTTATTAGATTCGGTTTTTGCGATATCTAGAATAATCAAAACTAAATTAAAATTCTCGAACGTGATTGATTATCGACAGCCCGATTTGAGCACTAATAGGACAGTGTAATAAATTAGAGTCATAGGACATTTAAAGGGACAGGTAATTCGTTATGCCTGTGTAAGTGGACAGAACGCGTCATGTGGGCGCGCTGATGTCTCGCATTTCGCCAGGTTAACTGTTGCGCAACCTTTTGACTGACGCATGCGCGACGTTTTGACTAATGAGCACATGGCATGGTGTAATGTGCGGACGAAGAGAAGCTTTCGCAGTGCAAAATCAGCACAGACACTGTGTATAATACCCTCAAAACACATAGAAAATATGCACACATCGTTCGCGGTAGACCCACACTAAAAGATGTCGAGCGTTTTCGGAACGGGTCGGTCCGCGAACCTTATGAGAGATCTCTTTATGTGCGCACATTTATGAGTACAGTCGAACCTCGATTATCCGGACTCATCGGGACCTCGGTAAATAGTCCGGATAATCGAAAATATGAATATTAATGAGATAGAAATGTGAAATAATTATCTGCTTATCTTTAATCAATAGAACGGCAAGCTTTCGCTTCGTGGGCATGTTTCGATCGCTCGTGTGTTTACATAACCCACGCAGAAGGAACTAATCAAGGGCTTATACTATTTTGCGAAACGAAACGAAACGAAACGAAACGAAACGAAATCGGGTCAGATGAAATAAAACAAAAGGAATAATACAGATATATTTTCCAATAAGGTAAAGATAACTTTCACAAGGATTTTGGAGTAATCGTTCATTAACAAGAAGGATTTTTATTCATTTCGCAAAATAGTAATTTTAGGAGAGTTACTATTTTGCGAAATGGACTATTTTCACCCTGCGGTGACAACGTGACCTCTTTCATGTCGCCAAAAATACATTTAAACATTACAAATTAGTATATCAACGAAGATTTTGGCCTCCTCTTATTTCTTAAACCGTATTAAAATATATTTCGCAAAATAGTAATTTTAGGAGAGTTACTATTTTGCGAAATGGACCATTTTCACCCCTGCGGTGACAACGTGACCTCTTTCATGTCACGAGAATCCATCTAAACATTACAAATAAGTATATCACCGAACATCTTGGCCTCCTCTTATTTCTTAAACCGTATTAAAATGCGTTTCGCAAAATAGTAATTTTAGGAGCTTTACTATTTTGCGAAATGGACTATTTTCACCCCTGCGGTAACAACGTGACCTCTTTCATGTCACAAAAATACATTTAAACATTACAAATTAGTATATCACCGAACATCTTGGCCTCCTCTTATTTCTTAAACCGTATTAAAATATGTTCCGCAAAATAGTAATTTTAGGAGAGTTACTATTTTGCGAAATGGACTATTTTCACCTCTGCGGTGACAACGTGACCTCTTTCATGTCACAAAAATACATTTAAACATTACAAATTAGTATATCACCGAACATCTTGGCCTCC